TACTACTAGTATTACTACTACTACTACTACTACTACTACTGCTACTACCACTACTACTACTACAATAAAACTACTTCTACTACTACTACTATTACTATTACTACTACTACTACAATAAAACTACTACTACTACTACTATTACTACTACTACTACTACTACTACTACAATAAAACTACTACTACCATTACTCCAATCACTACTGCTACAATAAAACTACTTCTATCATTACTCCAATCACTACTGTTATTTCTTTACTAGCGTTCCTACTATGAAAGCTACTACATCTAATGCTGATTTTGTTACGAACAATATTAATAATAATAACAATAATAATAATAACAATAACAATAATAATAAAATAATAGTAATAATAACAATATTAATTATAATAACAATAATAATAACAATAATAACAACAATAATAATAACAATACTAATAATACTAATAATGTAATAATAAAATAATAATCAAATAATAATATAATAATAAAAAAATAATAATAACCTGTTTTCGACGACTTGCTCGTAGAACGGGCACGGGACGACCTTTGTGTTGTTCAGTAGGTGTGGAATCAGCAGTGAACATACCCACAGTTTGTGAGCCGCCTGCGAATGAATGAATGAATGGATGGATGGATGAATGAACGAACGAACGAACGAACGAACGAACGAACGAACGAACGAACGAATGAATGAAACGAAAACCATTGCCACAGTTTTTTGTTAGTTCATTTCTATCATCGTGATTATAAATAACAACAACAACAACAAAAACAACAACAACATTAACAACAACAAAAACATCAACATCGTCGTCATCATCTCTGGAGGGCTTATTTAGACATGGGTTTTGTTGGATGAAATGCAGTTTAATCCAGACACCCCGCGAAAACATTAACGGCAGAATAAACGTTTAATAGGTTTATTCTCGTTTGTATATCTCTACGTTTGTATGTTTGTTGGTTTTGTATGATTGTATGTATGTATGTTTGTATGTTTGTTTGTTTTGTATGATTGTATGTATGTATGTTTGTATGTTTGTTTGTTTTGTATGATTGTATGTATGTATGTTTGTATGTTTGTTTGTTTTGTATGATTGTATGTATGTATGTTTGTTTGTTTGTATGTTTGTTTGTTTGTATGATTGTATGTATGTATGTTTGTATGTTTGTTTGTTTTGTATAATTGTATGTATGTATGTTTGTATGTTTGTTTTTTTGTATCTTTGTTTGTCGGATTATATGTTTTGCTTTTTTTGCCTAATATAAATCAACGTTATTTTGCTAAATTAAGAGAAAACAACAGACACTTACCGATACACAAACAACATACAAACAAATTTATACACATAAAAATATACACACAAACATTGAAGGAAAACGTGAACAAACAAACACATAAACAAACATCTAAACGCACAAACAAATTATCAGACAAACATACAAGCAACTAACACACAAACAAACATACAAATACACGAGCAAACATTAAGGCAGGAAGCGCGCAAAATACAGTACAAACAAAAATTTGGCGGAAAAAGATGGAAAAACTTGTGATGAACATAAATATTGAGCAAGATGGCACACACACACACAAATCTACACAAATCCATACACACACACACACACACACACAAACACACACAAACATACAACGTACATAAGT